AATGGATATAAACGGCTTGCTTGAATAATGGTAGCTGCCGTGATGTAGTGTATTTATATTTACATGAAGAACATTCTAGATAATACAGTGATTGGTTACTTGATTACAGAGAAGCTGTTAGAATAATTATCAACAAATTGATAGTGGTAGCACAATGGAGGAATCAGTTATGCTGGAGCAAGTGTGGACCACTGCTGATGTGGAGAGAGTGCTGAGGTGGAGTGTGACTATCATTTTTATTCTTAACAAATGCCAATAGCATAACTAATTAGACGGCGAGCTAAATTTAACATACCAAAACTTGCTTCATTCTAATTGATGTCGGTGTGTATTTTACACATTAATCCCCTGTTTACATATTATGATATCCACAACTTTTATCAAAATTTTAACCACACATTTCATCAACTTATATCAAATTTTTTACAACACCGTTAAATCTAACGTACTAAACTTAACTTGTTTAATCCCAATCGAGGACCGGTTATAGAATAGGATAAGAAGGACCAAATTTTAATTAGTATTGGCTTTTAAACCAAAATAGAAGGAGAGTGGGGGGTGGAGTTGACAATTAAGAAAGACAATTGGTGTTTCTTTGTATGTGTCACACGACGTGTGTATAGAGGAGATCGCCAGATTCAGCATTACACACATTGATACTGACGATACATGTGTGGTTCTCCGCCCAAATGTACATTCTCCCTCCCCATTTAATTCCGTTCCTCATTTACTCCTAATATTCCTCTCCTCCATTCCTTAATTTTTCCTCTGCAATCTGCCCCCATTTTTCCTTCTTTCTTTTTCTTCTTCATGGCTCCATCAGTAGGATCTCAGCAGCCACCGGTGGAGGCAGAGATTAATATTCAAAACGCCACCGCCACCACTGTTACCACCAGAGTTGAAGATGAAGTGCTGCCCATCAAATCAAAAGTCACAGTTGTGGGCAGTGGGAATTGGGGCAGTGTTGCTGCTAAACTCATTGCCTCCAACACCCGAAAGCTTAGCTCTTTCCACGGTTTGTCGCCTTTTCTTTCTTTCTTAATGCTCTCTTATATAATTTGTAAGTTGGGTTGTTGGACAATTAATTGTAGATTAGTGCGTGTTTGGTGGGTATTAAAATTAAATTTTTAGTATATTGAGATAAAAAATTTTGAAATGTGTGTTTGAAAAGCATAGATTGTTTGATTTTGACTTAGATTAAAATCCGATTTTAACCTGAATCACGTGGAACACAGTCGAACGACAACAAGAAAGAGCGAGAAGATAACAGAGAAAAATAAGAGAAGGGTGATAGTGCAGAGGAAGATAAAAATAAAAATAGGCTGATTCCTTTATATAGGTTTAAATTGATCTAATTTTGGTAGCGAAACAACTAATAAAAAAATGCGAAAATCTATTAAATGAAATCTTAATTACATGGTGTATGTTTGGTTGTTGATTAAAATATAATTTAAATTTAAATGATTATAAGTTGGGGTGTTACGGAATTTGTGAATAATAAATAAATATTAGTTTTCATCTATGAAATGTTTAATCAAGAATGATTATAAATTATCCAGTCGATTTTGCATTTACAAGTTTGAATTGATTTTTTGTAGATGAAGTGAGGATGTGGGTATTTGAGGAGATGCTGCCAACTGGAGAAAAACTCTCAGAAGCCATCAATCGAACCAATGTAATTTTTTAGTTCCCAATGTCAAGTGTTATTATTTTTCTTGTCTCTGTATCAATTCTTGCAATTTATATTATAAATGTCTTCTTCCATAGGAGAATGTTAAATATCTTCCAGGAATAAAGCTTGGTGAAAATGTTGTTGCAGACCCTAACCTTGAAAATGCAGGTAATTACATTTCCCAAGATTATACGACCCGTCCTACGCGTGATGGACAAATTTATAATTTTAATAAAAGGGTAGTGTTACCACGTTGAACGACTTCATCAAAAATTTTAGGCAAATAAAAAGGGACAATTGTTTATTTTAATTTAATCTTTAACGTGGAGTTCGCCTGATAATTTACAATGGAAAACTGGACAGTGAAGGACGCAAACATGTTGGTATTTGTAACACCACATCAGTTCGTGGAGGGCATATGCAGAAAGCTTGTTGGGAAGATAAGAGAAGATGCTGAAGCAATTTCGCTGATTAAAGGAATGGAAGTGAAGAAAGAAGGTCCATGCATGATCTCTACCCTAATTTCAGAACAGCTTGGAGTTAATTGTTGTGTTTTGATGGGGGCAAATATTGCCAATGAGGTCATTGAGCTTTGCTTTTTCTCTTTTTATACTCTGTGTGGGCAATTATTTCTTGATTCTAATGGTTTGTGTAATGAGTCACTGCTGTTTTTGCAGATTGCAGTCGAGAAATTTAGCGAGGCGACTGTTGGATACAGAAAACATAAAGAGATTGCAGAAAAATGGGTTCATGTATTCAACACTACATACTTCATGGTCTCAGCTGTAAGTGAAAATATGTTACCTTCCAACAACTTATATGCTATTGATGGCCTAATTACATGGAATTACGTATAAAGTACATAATTATGAGCTTCTGTATACATTCTTCACACCTACATAAATAAAATAGGTCCAAGATGTGGAAGGAGTTGAACTATGTGGTACACTGAAAAATGTCGTGGCCATTGCAGCAGGTCTGTACTAACTTGATCTGCCAGTGTCATTTTCGACAAGTAGTGATGTCATTTTTTAAAAAATAATGGCTTATTGTTCAACTGATGAAACAGGATTTGTGGACGGGTTGGAGATGGGAAATAACACCAAGGTAAAGCCAAATGACGTTTTATGTTAAAACTTATTGCAATTGTATCATCATGGTGGAGAAGTTGATTGATCAATATGTGTGATTTCCAGGCTGCAATTATGAGAATTGGTCTGAGGGAAATGAAGGCCTTTTCCAAGCTACTTTTCCCTTCTGTCAAAGATACTACTTTCTTTGAGAGCTGCGGTGTAGCAGATCTAATAACAACTTGCTGTAAGTAGGCTAGTCAATAGACTCAGTACCTCTATGAATTGTTTGGTAGGGATAGTTCGATAGTGCTATATGGTATACAAGTATAAACAAAGCTCAAATCTAGTTACTTATTACATCTAGTCGTGTTCAATGCTTCATAACAAACTTGTATTGCCGTCCTTTTGGTGAATTCCTAATTTTCCACCAGTATTAGGTAGACATATGAACGTTGTGATGTATTCTGATTTCAGTGGGGGGACGAAACAGGAAATGTGCTGAGGCTTTTGCCAGAAATGGTGGAAAAAGGTGCATCCTAAACGAGTGATCTAATTACTAGACAATAATGTTGGTGCAGAACTGCTCATTAATCCTTATTCGACTTCTCTGTACAGGTCTTTTGATGAGCTCGAAGCAGAGATGTTACAGGGCCAAAAATTACAGGTAGATAACACATTTAATAGAGCATAAATATTCATATCCAAAGTCGGAAATTCAAAGAAATTTCTCTCCATAGATCAATAGTATGAAAGTGAATTTTTCCCCCAATAAATCGGTTGAGCTCAGTTATGTAAACCTGTCTTGAAACTTTTGAAGGGTGTCTCAACGGCAAAAGAGGTTTATGAGGTGTTAAGCCATCGGGGATGGTTAGAGCTGTTCCCTCTTTTCTCAACAGTGCATGAGATTTGCACAGGTCGCCTTCCACCTTCAGCGATAGTCGAATACAGCGAGCACACTCCCAAGTTTTCCCTTGTGGGAGGTTCTGATCAATTATTATAAAATTTCAATGAACAAAATCAATAGAAATTATGTTTCCTTTTCAAACTGCTTGTGCTGAAATTTGTTCCTCTGTATAACTAGTATGGCTCTTAGAGCTTAGAGGCAAATAGTACCTTATGCTACATGTAAGCAATTGAACCCGTGATACCAGAAAATTTAATAGCTTTGGATTGCAGATCTCTCTCTCTATTGTGTGCGTGCGTGAGCTTCCTCTACTGTTTGAGCATACAGGAAGCTTGGTTTGAGAATCTGCAATGGGCATGCTACTCTTCCTTTTTCTGTTCTACAAAAATGCATTTTGGAATAGTGATTTGACGAAAAATGTGTGGTTAAAAAATAAGGAAAAGTTTTGGATTTGCGTATAATATCATTTTATTTTATTGAAGAATGTGGGGTTGAGAATAAGAGAGAAAAATGTATTTTGGAGATAATGAAGATCAAACAAGGGCTAGATATTTTTATTGGAATAGAATTTGGATTTAGATTTATCGGGATGTAAATGAGGATCCAAAAGTGATTTTTAAGATATCAATTTACAATCAATTTTACACCACCATCGAAGATGCTCTTAAAAGGGCTTAGAGAAAACTGAAAATTGTTCACCTATCACGATGGCCCATACGTAGAAAGATTGGAAGAATAAAAACCATTTATAAAGGTGTAGCAGACTGGGAATTCTTTTACTAGCATTATTTGACAATTCAATCCTTTCTTTACTTAGCCTCGTTTAGTGGTGGCAAAAAAGCTCGCCGGCTAGGGCTCGGGCCGGCCCGTGTCCGTAATTAATAAAAAAAATAATAAAAAAAAATTTTAAAGCTAAAATAGCTGAAAAAATTAAAAAATAAAAATAAAAAAACCGAGCCGACTCGGGCCAAAGCTCGGGCCGAGCCTTTTTTTTGCCCGGGCTCGGCCCGACTCGTTGACATAGCCAGCCTTGTTTATCTATGTATTCATCAAGATCCTCGTTTGTCTACTGGGTTTGAGAATCTGCAATGGGCATGCTACTCTTCCTTTTTCTGTTCTACAAAAATGCATTTTGGAATAGTGATTTGACGAAAAATGTGTGGTTAAAAAATAAGGAAAAGTTTTGGATTTGCGTATAATATTATTTTATTGAAGAATGTGGGGTTGAGAATAAGAGAAAGAAGAATGTATTTAGGAAATAATGGAGATCAAACAAGGGCTAGATATTTTCATTGGAGTAGAATTTGGATTTAGATCTACCGGGATGTAAATGAGGATCCAAAAATGATTTTGACGATACCAATTTACAATCAATTTTACACCACCATTGGAGATGCTCTTAAAAGGGCATAGAGAAAACTGAAAATTGTTCACCTATCACGATGGCCCATACTTAGAAAGATTGGAAGAATAAAAACCATTTATGAAGGTGTAACAGACTGGGAATTCTTTTACTAGCATTATTTGACAATTCAATCCGTTCAAGTTAGCCTTGTTTATCTATGTATTCATCAAGATCCTCGTTTGTCTCATTAGACGAGTTCCCACAGCCTACATTGCAAGATAGCTCTACCCACGCCGTCCAGTCGAGCCCCAACCACGATGCTCGAGATTTCCTGAACAAATTAGCCTAAAAGTAAACCTAATAGAAACAATACCCGTTAAACGTATACTATAGTATAGCTGAATCCATCTAAATCAATTCGAACGAACAATGTACATTATCATTAGCACAAATTCTCCAACTCAAACCAGCTTGATAGATTATGCTCTGGATCATTTTCAATCACACAGCTTTTATTACACTTAAAAATCTTTTTATTCCCAACAAAAAGTGGCGTAGCATACAACTAGTAATGAGAAATAATATCTTCCACAACAAAATGCTGATAAATTATCAAAATAATTCAACCAAAATAAGTTCAGTTCAATGATTTCCTTAAAAAAAACACCACCACTAACTCAGCAGATGAAGAGAAGGTAGAAATACTGAAACTAACTTTTGTTCTTGAGATTCTTCCTTAGCTTCCTCAACTTGTGCCTATTCATCTTTCTTTTCCTCTTCTTCTTCACACTATCAGCCCAGATAGTGAGAGTACTCTCAGCAACGGTTTCTTCATCAGGTTCGGATCGAATTGATCCGATTGAAGAAGAAACTGGGTGCAGAAAACACCCAAAAGAAAAGCTCGGGTAGAAATGTGAAGAAATGGAAGGATACAATCTTGAATCCGTTATTTTCCCACGACCCGGAAGGGGGATTTGATCAGCTAATATCGTGGTTTGGGGAATTTGGGTAAGCAGATATGGTGGCTGCAGTGGAGGATGGTTGATCAATTTTGTAGCGTATAGGGACTGATTTCTGAAGAATTTTTGGAAGATTGAAGCAGCCATTTGCTAACTATAAAAAAAACTGAGAGAGAATGGTATAAAATTGAAAGAGGGGAAAAAAAATTGTTCGTTAGGGTTTCGGAATAGTAGTTATTTGGGTAATATCACGCCCAATCTCAAGACACACCAGCATTTGATCAAGCTAGCTCATTGTTTAACTTTTAAAACTTATCATTTTCAGTTACACATCCACGCAATAAAATATTTTGTACATATAAAAAAAAATCCATCATTTAACCATATATTCTCCTAAAAAATCCATCCTTTAACCACATTCAAAACTCTCATTTTTTTTAAAAAAAAATAATGAATACCAAACATGGGCTAAATAAATACACACAATAAAGAAAAATAAATTTGTAACTTAATTTTAAATTGCCAGTTGCTCGATCCATCTTTAACGAATACAATTCACAGAAGACTCGAGCAATATAGGGTCTTAGGCAAAATCATGTGCTGAAATTTCTTCAGTAATCACTGACACTATTACCATCGACGATTCTTATGAAAATCAATATATGTCAATTATTAGGAAGAAATTACGAACAATAATATTGCCAGTGATCACTTACACGCATTTATTTATTGATTATTAATTATAACATCATCGATAATGTTGTTCGCAACTATTGACAGTACATCAATGACCACCCACTATGAAGCCGATTAAATTTTATATGTTCTACATTTTTCATTTTTTTTTATGACTAAAGAAGCGAATATGTTAATATGTATTGAGCTCTTAATATTTTTTTAATATTACTAACTAGGCCATTCATAATCTTATATTATTTTTTGTTTTCATTTAATTATCAAAAGAAATCAAAAATTAATTCTGAGTTTTTATATTTTTACTATGTATCGACGAAAATTTTATTAATTTTAAAACAGATTTTTTATATTATACAATCTAAAGAAAAAAAAACTCTATTGTTATTTATTTATTTTTTATCACATCATTAGCGATTTAATTTTCATTTACCAATTTAAATTTATTAAAATAAATTTTCATTTATCACCGGCTGAATAATATGATTTATAGATTTTGTTTGGAAAATTGTTTGAGAAAATTTTTAAATTTTGAGATTCGTACCATTTATATTTTCATGAATTTCGCGAGATTATATAAAATAAAATAAAAAATTGAAAGGTTTTCGTATTGAGACCTCATGTGATATAAAATTAAAATAAGGAGGATTCAATTGCTTTAAATTATAAGTGAAGGACTTATGTTATTTCCACGGAAAGTTCTGGCTAGTGTGTCACAATGACATCACGACAAGTGTGCATGTGGGGCCCGGTCTCTATATATAGATCCCTGAAGAGGCTCTAAATTCAAAATCCATATTGAGCTTTCTAAAGATGAGGATTAGGGGTAATCAAAACACCAGGAATCCAAGATCGAAGGATTCAACGGGTGAGGTTCTCTTATTCTATTTCACGTATGTCTCGTTTGTTTTACTTTCAAATTTACTGTGTTAAATATCAAAACTCAGTTGCTCTAGGGCTTTTAGTTTCTGTTCGCTTAAGTTCCAGAAATTGTATGCCTATGGGGATTAAGGTGTGAAATGTCGAGATTCTGTTTGCACAGTTACGTGTATAGTAGTTAAACTATTGAGTTAGTTATTTGTTCGGAAGTGGCAACAGAGCATTGTTGAAGTTTCAAATGTATTTTGGAGCGCGAGAATTCAAGTTGTACGTAATTCAACCCTAGTTGTCATAATGATTACGACAAACCTTTCATAGCATGAAGTTTGAAATTCTGTTAGCAGAGAAAATAACAATAATTTTTCTCATACGTTTTGAGGAAAACACAGTGGGAATCCTTAGGATATAGAACGACCGGGTCCCAGACACTTCCTGGTTCTTGAACTGAAATTGTGGGTACCGGACTCTCGAACAGAAATTGTCCTTTTTACAAGTTATATGTTTTGTAATTTATTCACTTGTCCATTACCCCGATAGGATGGAAAGACAAGTTGACAATTCTGATTGTTTTGCCGTTTTCAAATGAATGGATTTATGTGGTTTTTAGCGTGTCTAAAATCTAGCGCTTCCTTATTGTTGGGTTCTAGTTTTTGGTTTGTTGTTTAGGTATGTAATTTGGTGTTTATACTCTGCTAGATATTGGATGCTATTTGGTGACTTATTTTGTTACATATTGGATGCTATTTGGTGGTATTTGTAGTAGATTAAGTCCATGTTTGATACGGATTAAAATCAAGATTTTAATCTAAGTCAAAATTAACAATTAATTTTAACTACAAATTTCATTGGATCCACAACTTTTCAACTACATATATTATCAATTTCAATCAAAAATCTAATTTTAATCCCTACCAAACAGGGGCTAAGAAATATGTTGAAATATGTATTTGGTGGCATATTTTATTTCTTCTAGATATTTGGAAGATAATTCGTACTATCGCTCACAGTTTTTAAAAAAATGTTATGGGTAGAACCGAAACCGGCTGATCGAGTTTGATTTCATTAATTACGTGGACCAAATGGTTTCATTTACGAAATACTTGAAGTGTAATGGGTAGTTTCGGATATTGAAATACCAAACCGATCCATCCAACAACCATATCGAGATTAGGGTTTGCAATATCGAAATTTCGTTTGCACATTTTTTTTGTATAGTTATCAAGCTATTGATTTGATTTTTTGTTTTGGAAGTGGAATTGAGCATCGTAGAAGTTTCAAATGTATTTTGGAGCCTGAGAATTCAATTTATATGTAATTCAATCATAGTTGTCATTCTATGATGACAAGCCCTTTATAAAATGGATTTTGAAATTCAGTTAGCAGTTGGAATCTGGGGATTGCAATAACTTTGCTAACGTGTTTTGATGAGTTCACACGACGGAGATACTTGGGATATTCTTTCAAGACTGCCATAAGAAAGAGATTCAATTTAACTATTTGTTCCTCAAAAACTCGTACACGTGATTTTGTAATGTCACACAACATCGATTCCAATATGTCATTATTTTCTGACATTGAGTGGGCATGATTATTTGGGTGTAATGTCAGAAACTTCAAGGGACATGGCCACTGCAGTTGAAAACAGTAACGTAGGACCAGACTTCTTTGGTTTCTATACAAGTGAAGTAGCAGAGTTATTGTCTCAAGATGATAATTTTATGCCTTCCTCACCTCACATTTCTGGATTAGCTGGAAACCTTCTTGAGTTGGACAGAGAAAAGGGCACAAGTAGGAACAGTTGCACAAAAAAAGAGAACAACAATATTAGTGGTTCTACTTTGTTATACACTAATGGAATAGGTTCTCTACTGCCAGAGATTAAAAAGGAAAGGTTGAAGTCATTACTTTGTCAGAGTGTGCTGACTCTTGGGCAGGAAGTAGACGAGGTATGTATCTGTTGATTTCCATTTCTTTTTCAATCTTTCTCCCTTACCCCCACTTTTGACTAAGGGCATGAGCAACCAAGTGCATTGATTATCTGGATATAAATTAGATACAGGGTTACGGCTTTACTTGGACAGATGGGGCCGTCCATGGAGCATGGAAGCTTGGCAATGTATATGCATTCATCATTAATTTTTGAAAGTTCTTTAATGTATCCTCACCCTATATCTAATTTTGTTGTAGATGATAAATCCTGTACTTTCGATATGTCGAATACGATCATGCTTGAGATACAAAAATAGCCTATTAAGCTTGGATGGCTCGGGATGTGAAGTTGATCGAGTGGTACACCCTCAGAAGAAGCGAAAAGTGTTGCCTTCCTCTTTGGTAAGCTATCGGAAATGCACAAATAAATGTCTGGTAAAAACTTTGTTTGTTGACTTTCTGTACATCAGACTCTTCTTCTATTTATGATTTATCTCTTGTCAACTGAAAAGGAGTCAGAAAAAGAATTCATAAGAGGAAAGAAAGAAAGTCAAACATGCACGGACATAAAAAGGGTTGTTGAGATGGCAATTAAATTTCAGATCGAGTCCTATATGAGATAGATAAGCAACACTTCATGAGGGATTTGACTTATAAAATTTCTGGCAAGGTGGATTGGCTACGAATATGATCTAACCTCGCATACATGCATTCAAATTGGTTGTTCTTGTTTGTGAGGATGCAAGTCACCATTGCATTAATGAGTGCTGTATTATATAATTGAAACAATGACCTTTTTATGATTTTATTTGAGGATACTTACTTTACTATGCATATTGGAAGCAGAAGTCAATGATGTTTTGAAAGGATTTATCTTGTTTGAAACATTTTTTACTCTTTTCTTTTGTACTTTTGATGGGCATACGTATGGGGTGATGTCTTGTAGTGTAATACCATGGTAGGGATTTGTTGATTGTGATCTTACTGCATGTATAAGCGGTATTCTGCCATGCCTTCTTTAATTCTCTACATTTTTGTTTGTGTCAAAGATGCTTGTCATTTTTTTTCAACATCTAGACTTAAATGACCTTACTTGGGAGGAGGCTGTTCCTTATGTATCCATTATATGATTAAAAGCCAACTAATACTATCTTGTTGGGATAAATTTATCTTGAGCTTTCTGTTTTTACCTTCTTACATACAGGATTCAGAAAGTGAACACGTGCATTTGGCTGTACCAGGGAAAGAAGAATCCAATGATGTCATGAAGGAATGCACCCAGGACCATAAAAATTGTACCCCTCAGCTGAGGGTTGGGGCCAATGGAACCAAGGTGCCTGGCACTTGTTATTTCTTGTTATCTGTTGCTGTATTGTTTTTTCTGTTGGCAAGTTGGTTTATACTTATGTAAAGTTGTCTTTCAAAGAATTGATAACCTCAGGCAGGCAAAAACACAGAAAAAACTAATTTGGTTGCGGGGTTGCATCCATCATCCCTTGTCCTTAATTTCCACACATCAAATATGGCTTTACCTATCTGTTGAAAATATGAGAATGCTTGAACAAAATGGAGGCACTAAAATCAATATGGCCCGTTATGCTCTCTTGACTTTTAAATGTCCTTTTCAATAAATGAATGGGGAAATT